GAACTTTCAGGCCGATAGCCGATATCTTGCAGATATTCTGTACATTTACTATTTTGAAAAAGTAAACTAATTTGAAAGGTAAATGCACAAAATATACATGCCACATGTAGTGGATGAAGTGTGTTTAGACAGGGGAGCTGTGTGTGTTTGTGTAGTGTGTGTGTGTAGTGGATGCAGAGTGTGTGTTTGTGTAGTGGGTATATATAATGAATGCAGTGTGTGTTTGTGTAGTGTGTATAGTGAATGCAGTGTGTGTAGTGTGTATGTAATGCAGTGTGTGTCTTTGTGTAGTGTGTGTATGTAATGCAGTGTGTGTGTTTGTGTAGTGTGTGTATGTAATGCAGTGTGTGTGTTTGTGTAGTGTGTGTGTATATAATGCAGTGTGTATGTGTAGTGTGTATATAATGCAGTGTGTGTGTGTTTGTGTGTGTGTGTGTGTGTGTAGTGATGTAATTTGTGTAAAATGGGGGGGCATTTTTTAAATATTTAAATTTTTTTTTTTTGTTCAGTCCCCCCTCCCTGCTTCTTACCAGGGAGGGGGGATATAGTATTCCCTGGTGGTCCAGTGGCTTGTTAAGTACTGGGGGGGCCAGCAGCAAGCGCTGACTTACCTTGCCAGCAGCTCCTCCAGCTCCCTGTGTAAATCTCGCGGCTCTTAGTGCCACGCGGAACATTGCCATGCTAACCGGCCATGGGTCTCGCGAGATTTACAGAGGGAGCTACAGGAGCTGCTTGCAAGGTAAGTCAGCGCTTGCTGCTGGCCCCCCACAGGACCCCATTACAAGCCCGGCGGTCCTGTTATATATTATCGGCAATATCGGTATCTGAATTGGCCAATACCGATATTGCCGAAAATACCAAATATCGGACGATAATATCGGCCAGACCGATAATCGGTCGATCCCTAGTTTAAGCATGCGTGGGATAGGAAAAAGCCTATCCTAGATATAAGATAAGGCCAGAGACTAATGAAAGAATTTAGAAAATTGGGCAGATTAGATGGACCGAATGGTTCTTATTTGCTGTCACATTCTATGTTTCTATAATAAAGACGTACATAATAATTTGTGGCATAGCTAAAACTTAACTTTTAATATATAGATAGACGGACAGACAGATCAACAGACAAATAAAAGAATAACAGTGTATTAAAAGTATATATTTAAGTCAGAGCCTGTAGTTGTGGGAGGGGTTTGGGGTCCCCTTTATAAGGGCCTCCAATCCTCTCTCACATACCGTTATTGGTCTGGTGAGTTGAACTTACCTGTATCTTCGTGGCATGGTCTCCTGGCTTGCTGTCTTCACGTTTGTCGACGGCTGAACTTCACTTCCTATGTGGTTTACCTGTACCATCGCTTTACGGAGGTCCTGCTGCTGCTGCCAGGTGCCTGTCTGTTCCACGAGGTCTGTCGCTAAACAGTGAGTTTGCCTGACGGGTGTCTCTCAGCACGCCGTCTGGACCGGTGGCTCGGGTGCCTCCCAACTCACTGTGTACCCCAGCACCCCGGTTGCTCCTGTCACCAGCAGCTGAGACTCCCCACACACCAGCGGTAAGTACCCACCAAGCCGGGGCCGAGCATGGTACACAGCTGGCACGTCAGCTGCTATCACCTGCAGCTCCCCGGGTCCACTACCTGCCATGACTGACCTCTGGCACCCCTGCTGGAATGTCTACCACTCATGTTCGGTGTTCGGCCAGCTGGTATGGGGGTCTACCACTCTCATGGTGCTCGGCCAGCTGGTATGTGGTCTACCACTCTCATGGTGCTCAGTCTGCTGGTATGGTGTATACCACTCTCATGGTACTCAGCCAACTGGTATGGTGTCTGCCACTCTCATGGTGCTCAGCCAGCTGGTATGGTGTCTGCCACTCTCATGGTGCTCAGCCAGCTGGTATGGTGTCTGCCACCCTCATGGTGCTCAGCTGGTGATGTGTACAGGGTTAGTCCATAAGAAATGTCCTTTATCCAGCCTGAGGTCGTTCATTAGGAGATTAAGCAGTATTGAAGGAAATTTCAAAAGCAGAGTCAAGGCCAGTCCGAATTAGTTCACCAGGTAATCAAAGATATAGGTGTATGAAGAGGAGATTCAGAAGGGGTCCGGTCTCTCTAGGAGTGATCCAAATGATTAGCAAGCAAGTTGATGCAATCAGTCAAATTAACACATTAATTGTGCACTGAGGTATTGGAGATTGGAGTTTAAATAACCAAGGGGTGTGTACTTTCATGCCGTCTTAAAGGGCCAGTAATAAACGGATACAGTTCCTGACAATTACAGTGGAACTGTCTCTACCTAACACCCCTGCTAGGTCTGGTAAGCCATCTCGCAGAGTGTACACAGTTAGTCTTGCATCCCTCGGATCACAGAATACTCTATGAATCACTGCCGAACTCGACAAACATAGCGCCCTATTCCTGGCTACGGCCAGGGATGCAGAATAACATTGACTCACCCTCATGGGTTTAGCTCATACAAGCTGCTAAGTGTATGCTCTCATTGCCATGAGGCCCATGCAACAACCATTCCCCATACACTACCTGACTAAATGTAATGTCTTTGTCTGAATGTTGTGTCTACATAATGCTGCTCCCACCTATCTATCCTCCCGTCTAGGCCCTTACGCTCTGCTGAAGACTTACGTCTATCTTCTGTCCGTACTCCCACCTCTGATGCACGCCTTCAAGACTAATCGAGGGCTGCACCGTTCCTGTGGAACTCGCTTCCCTCCTCCGTTAGATGCTCACCCAGTCTCCACTCCTTCAAAAAATCATTAAAAACCCACTTCTTCATAAAAGCATATCAATTAAACTGTTAATAGCTCCTGACTGATTCCTCTTCTGCAACTATCACTAGTCTAATACTATCCTTACCTTTTGTGTCACTTTACCCCACTCCCTCTAGCATGTAAGCTCATTGAGCAGGGCCCTCAACCCCTCTGTTCCTGTGTGTCCAACTTGTCTGGTTACAACTACATTTTTGTCCGTCCACCCACTGAAATAAAACGCAGCGGAATTTATTGGTGCTATATAAATAATAACATAATAATAATAATAACATAATACCCCGCTTACAACTAATGGTGCCCAGTTCTGGTTTTAGACACTTACTTTAGCACTTTTCAAAAATTACCTCACCAACCACTGCTTGAGCTACACGGTTCCACACTCACTACATCTAACCGCAGACACTTCTCAATTAAAACCAAATACAGGGTGGTCGTCGTTCGTATGTCGACCACGAGACGGTGGCCATTTTAAACCATGCGAAAGACCAGCGGTATTCGGCATGGATTTCATGGAACTGAAAACGGACACTTTTTCTGCTGAACACCGCTGAAGCCGCCAACCTCCCTTCTCAATCGACAGAAATATACGAACACCGGCCGTTCGGGAGTTTTATACGCACTAATGGACTTACCCCAGATAGCCTTCCCATGGAGTCAATCGCATACCGAAAGACTGTAATAGACTTTGACTCCATGACGATTGAACTATGTGTATGGGATCTGAGTGCTATTCGCCAATAATATGCACTCAGATCCAGGCTATCTGGGGATACGTGATACGAATGGGTAACATTCGACAAATGTAAAGTTATATATTTTTATATGTTTTTCGGTGTTGAATTTAAAATGGCGATTTGCCTCTGTCCTGGAGATAATTGAATTACTTCTCAATTATCTCCAGGTCAGAGGGGAGGAAATACTAATGCATGCAGGGAATATTCTGTGTCTGTGGGTCCTAACCTGCCATATGTCTGTCTATTGTTACAGTCTCCCATTTGGTCCCCTAGGGGAGTGTCCACCAAGTGGGAGACCTGCATAAATACGGGCAGGTAGCCCACAGTAAAGCCAGTTCATGTTTTACCCTCAATGCGGAGCTTGGTCTCGTTATTGGGGGGATTTATTACCGACGACTAGAGACTGCCGGATGGAATTATTAGCCGCTTGGGAGATATATGCATTCGGCTACTATTGGCGATTCGTGAGTTTGGAGCTCGTGAAGTGAAGTGCCCGTACGGATCCCGTTCATGAGTTTACAGCGTTCCCCTGCTTGCAGTTCGTATGATTGTACTTGATACGCATGCAGCCTGTATTGCGAGAGGGGAGGATTCACTAAACAGCGGTTTGTGCATTTGATGCTGAGGGTACCGTAACATTACTACTCATATGTTATTTTTATTTATATGTTATCTAACCATTACGGCAATATTGCCCTGACCACAAATATATATATATATTTAAAAGAATAACAGTGTATAAAAAGTATCAATCAGTAGTATAATTGCTTAATTCCCTATGTATTATAGATATACTACCACTATAAAGTTGAGATAAGAAAATAGTGAATTCTCTACACAAATACTCTCTGGTATGGAGAGTGCTTTATTATTTGCCAATCTGCCAAGAAAATGCAGTATAATTGCTTTTTTCAAACACGGTTGAATTTGGCTTATCGCATAGACCACATGAGGTCGCTGTGGTACCACATTCAGTTCTTATCTTCCTTTAGAATGAAATTTACTAAGGTAAAAACCACATGAGGTCGCTGTGATACAATGTTCTGTCAGCCTTCTCAAGTAAATACCACTGTAAACCATGGACCTGCTAGTGTCAATCTGGAGAGATCTGGTTAACAAATAACATGTATAATATTCATTGAGTGAACTTCAGTTATAAAAGATAAGTTCCTATACGTATAGTTGACTCTTCCTCTGGACATCAGTTGTCTCACCAAAACAAAACGTACTCATAAGGTATCTATATAAAGTAACAACATAAGAAGTTTCTACTGATAACTATGCTGGGACTATGTATCAGCCCAGGTCTAAGAAATTAATATGTTTTATTTAATATTTATTATTTTCGTCTTTATTAGTTTTGTTTCGTTCCAATTCTTAATTTTTGAAATTCATTTGTAACGGGAAAAAATTCTGAAGAATTTCGGGAACAAAACAGTTTGCAACATTTTACTAGATAGCTCCCCAATTTGGTATCCTTAAAATGTCAATCTCAATTGAGGGTGCCATTAGGGACACATCTACTAAACAACTGCTTGAAAAATATAAAAACAATAAATGTTTTTTCTTAAAGGGATACTATAGTCACCAAAATAACTGTAGCTTAATGAAGCAGTTTGGGTGTATAGATAATGCCACTGCAGACCATAACACCAGTCACAGAAGCCAGCCAGCAACAGCAGCTACAGTTGCTCTTATGTGATCCGAACAGAAATGTTAGCCTTCACTCCTCACGTGCATCAATGTGCCTTGGGCGCCCATGACCCTGATGCAGGTTCACTGGTTGTCTCTCCTTGATTCAATTTTGGTAGGTAATAACCATTGTATACCACGAACATCCACAAGCTTGTCGTTTTGGAGATTCTCTGACCCATCACTAGCCATCACTATTTGACTTTTGTCAAAGTCACTCGGATCTTTTCGCTTGCCCATTTTTCCATCTTCCAACACATGAAATTTGAGAACTGATTCTTCACTTGCTGCCTAATATATCCCAGCCCTTGACAGGTGCCGTTGTACCAATATAATCAATATTATTCACTTCACCTGTCAGTGGATTTAATGTTGTCCTGATAGTGTATTACCCTTTGTATATCACTTAGTCTCTATTACTTCCATTGCTCTATGGAGGCTCCCAAACATGGTTAAAAAAAATTTTTTAAAATAAATAAAAAGGACATAGGAACACTGGAATGAGATCTGGGATGCATCTATGGAGTCCTATTCAATCCCAGATTGATCAATATGTTGTTGTAGATTAAAATTAAACAGTTTGTGCCCAAAAAAATTAACGTTGGAACCAGAGGCAGTGAAGTAATCTTCTCTGATCACTAGGTGGCAGTATGCACATAAAATAACTGCAAATACTTTACACACACTTCTACTTAATTCCTGACGGCACAACAATGGGTAGTTGCTTCTCCCTACCACAAATAGACAGGAACCCAATTGAAATAAATGAATGCATACATACTTACTCCCATCCCCAGTTTTTCTGTTTAAGTCCTATCCCCAAAAGGACAGTGATGAGTTTGATATTAATATATGTGTATCTATTAGAGCCATAATACTTTCTCGCTAATATATGGAAATGGAACTTTCTATGAGATAAAGGCCGTGGGATCCAGAAAATTGATCTTTTCACTGCCTTTGAGAAAAAGAAATAAAAAAGTGCTTATTAGTGACCAGATAAAATCCCAGCAATGCTGTTGAAGCTCAGTGTGCCGGCAATTGCTAAACCCTACGCAACTCTAATTAACGAATCCTTGGTGTCTGAATATATACCCAAACTTTGGAAGACTGCGAGAGTAGTGCCTATCCATAAAAGTGGTGACATTACTTTGGTTTATAACTATCGCCCAATATCATTGCTCCCAGTATTGTCAAAAATCTTGCAAAAATGTGTTCATACACAACTATGTGAGTATTACCAACAATCAAACTTCTGACCCCTGATCAATCAGGCTTTCGCCCAAATCACTCAACTACTACTGCCCTCTTAAAAGTTTGCAATGACATCCAAACTGGCATGGAACAAGGAGACTTAACTGGAGCTATTGTTTTGGTTTTGCCAATTCCTTTGACACAGTAAACCACAACATTCTACTGCAAAAACTCAAGTATTGACTCCGACCTCTCCTTCACCCCTCATGTCCAGTCAATCGCAAAATCCTGCTGCCTCCATCTCAAAAACATTGCACGCCTCCGCTCATATTTAAAGTCTGATACGGCTAAGGTGCTTGTCCATGCCGCTGTTCTCTCTCGCCTTGACTACTGTAATCCTCTTCTCAGTGGTCTTGCATGTTCCCAACTTCCCCCAGTTACAGTCTATAATGAATGCGGTGGTGAGGCTCATCTTGCTGTCCGCCCGCACCTCCCACTACTCCCCCCTATGTCAGTCCCTACATTGGCTTCCCTTAAGATATAGGACTCAATTTAAGATCCTGGTACTTGCTTACAAATCTCTACACAATGCTGCTCCCACCTACTTATCCTCACTAATATACAAATATGTCCCATCTAGGCCGCTACGCTCTGCCGGAGACCTATGTCTAACCTCTGTTCGTAATCCTACTTCTGATGCTCACCTTAAAGACTTCTCTAAGGCTGCACCATTCCTATGGAATGCCCTTCCCTTCTCTGATAGCCTCTCACCCAATCTCTTTAAAAAAATCTTTGAAAACTTACAGTACTTCTTCAATAAAGCAAATCAATTAAGCTGTGAACAGCTTTCTCTCTCTGCACCCTGATTCTGCTCCGGCAACTGTCATCAAAACAAAACACCAAGCTGTTAGTGATACTATCCTAGCAACCTACCTTTCTACCCAACCATTATCTTTTGTGTCACTATACCACCTCCATCTAGCATGTAAGCTCATTGAGCAGGGCCCTCAACCCATCTGTTCGCTTACTAATTACATTATTCAAAAATGATCTGTCTAATGTCTGCAAACCCTCAAATGTATGCAGACGACACAGCAATCTACGCAAGCAAACCAAATCTACCACAGCTTGAGGCTGAGCTCCAAGACAAGTTCGAAGAGGTAGAAAAGTGGAACGCAAAAAACAAGCTCTTCCTAAACACTGACAAAACTGTCACAATGATCTTTGGAACAGTACCTAAATTACAAAATTCCCATTTATGCATCAAAACAAAATCAAATAGCACACTGATTGCAGTCCATTCTTTTAAATATTTAGTTATGCTGCCAGGGCCGCCACCAGAAATTTTGGTGGCCCCTAACTGAGCTCAGGGTCTGGGTCCCTGGGGGCCCGCCTCCAAACCGCCAACAGAGACTGCCTCCAAATCCCACCCACAGGAATACACACACAGACACAAACACATTCACTGATACAAAAAGACACAGATATACACACACATACACTGATACATACTAACAGACACACATACTGATACGCACATATACTGAGACATACACACATATACAGACACACAGGCGTACAAGGTGACAGACACATACTAACATACATACAGACACACATGCATAAGGACATACAGACACAGACACATTCACAACAACATACAGACAGACATTCATACTGGCATAATGACATGCAGACATACATACACTGACATTCATATACACATAATGACATGCATACAGATAGACATACATACATACATACAGACATACATACATACTGGCATACATACATTCATACAGACACTGACATCCATACATACACACATTCATGACATACAGACATACATTCATACAAACAGACATACATACAGTGACATTCATACACACATAATGACATGCATACAGTTAGACATACATGCATACAGACATACATACAGACATACATACATACAGACATACATTCATACAGACACTGACATCCATACATACATAATGACATGCATACAGATAGACAGATATACACACAGCTCATTTTCCAGCCATCCTCCTGTTTCTTACCTTGTCTTTGCAGGAGGGTGGCTGGCTGGGGCTGATGGGACTGGGAGTTGGCTGGCTCTCCCTCATCATTGCCGGGTGCGCGCTCCTCCCGCGCGGAGTGAGCTGGCAGGAAGTGACCCCTTCCTCCCAGAAGCACTTGTGCTGCTGTGTTTTTTTTTTTTTTTTAAAGGGGCCCGGTCGCGCTATACCACGCCCAGAGCGCTGACCAGGCCCCTGGAGATATGGGGCCCATCAGGCGGCCCTATGTGCGTAGGCCACCCGATGAGACCCATCAGTGTGCGGGCCCGGTGCAACTGCACCGGCGGCAGATCCGCCGCTACACGTGGGGCCCGGGCAGACGGGCAGACGGGCCCCCGGGCCCGTGACAACCGTTATGGTTGTCACCCCCTCATGGCGGCCCTGTATGCTGCTATTCCCCAATCTATCTTTTGGCCTACACATAGAAAAACTCTCATCAAAACTTTATCCAAAACTAGGTGCCCTGTACAGAAACAAATCCTGCCTAAGCCCTACATTAAAGGAAAAGATTGTACAGCAAATGCTGATGCCATTCATTGATTATGGGGATGTAGTATATGCACTAGCACCGCAATCCCACATTAATAAACTGAAAACATTATAACCTGTTCTGCCGATTTGTGCTACAATGTAATTACATGACCCACCATTGTGACATGCTAAAAGAACTAAACTGGCTGCCGCTGGAATCCAGACGCACCCTTCATCTTTCCAGCCTTGTGTTTAAGAGCTTTTCTGCATTTTATTGTACCCTATTCTGCAGAGTTTGTGGACATACTTGAAAAGAAGAGAAATCTCAATGTATCCTTCCTGGTAAAATATTTTATAAATAAATATTTGTAATGGGTACTCTCAAGACCCATACTAGATTATAAGCTTGTTTGTGCAGGTTCCTCATAAACCTACTGTTTATGTAACATTTTTAAATTGTCTCATTTATTGTTAAATTTCCCCCTTTATGCTATTGAGAAGCTTTGCGGAATAAGTTGGTGCGATACAAATGCTAATAATAATACCTCTGTCCTCCTCTCCCCCCCCTTTCGGGCAAACTAGGAGTTAAGGTAATATTTTAGCTGAACTGTGCTCTTTGTGAGCGATTCAGTTGCTGCTTGCTTGCTTTTGTAACGCTGACTTCACCTATCAATTCCTTGTAAAGTCATAGAGAGGGGAGGGGGAGCAAAAGAAGTCTGTAAGAGAGTGCGTTCTAGTGTGAGTGTTTATCAGTGAGAGTACAAATGTGTCCACAGCCCACTAATCAGCACTGTGTTTGTTGTTTGTAACTAGTGATTGGCTGCGCACGGAATAAAATAAGATTTTTTAAAAACTACATTGGGTAGATGATTACATGGGGTGATATTTTGGGATATACTATATAGCAAGATTATTGCTGCATTCTAAGAAATTAAAAGGTTAAATGACACAACTGAATGCCCAAAAGTAAGAAGTCAAGTGTTCTAATATGTTTTGACTACAAACACTGGGGCGAGGTGCACAATGTAGTGGTTATGGTGCCTGAAGTGTTCTTTTAATGTCTAACTGTGTATAATTCACCCCTAACATTTCATGGAATGTAGCAATAATCTGGCAATCAGGTGACGCTCTAAACCATTTTGTTTCCACTGGACATTTTGGGGAACTTGCCCTCCCTCTCTCGGGCGCCTTGGTAGGAGTATTCCCCCTTTCTTTAATGTGTGCACTGTTCTCCTCTATTGCAGAAAAAAAAAATACGCGGTCATATTGACACAGTCATACAAACACTGTCATACACAGATATACCGACACTTACATACACAGACAGTCAGAATCAGGCATACAGTCATACATGGAGTCACAATTATTACGAACATCTCAGCCCTATGCAATCATTTGCCCGGGGAGCATGCTGTCCGGCTCTGTGGAGTCTTAATCCCCATCACTAAAGTGCCACCGGGCTGTGTGGTAAACAAGCAACAGGGCTGTGACGTGATTCGTATCCCTAACTCCTGCACACAGCCTGCGGCATGCACCAAAGCCGAAGGCTAAGATGGACAGAGGTGCTGGCAAAGTTCGGCCACACTACATAAAGCGACTGGCAGGAAAGGAGTACTATGCGCTCACCTCCTGCCGGTCACCTAGGCATTTTACCCCCCCCCCCCCTTGTGCCGCCTGATGGTAGTGCTAGCTCTGGGTGTAGAATTGTATTGTGTGTATATAAGGTATAGAGGCAATGTGTTTCTGTCTGAATGAGTGTGTAGTGTTTGTATAGTTTTTGTGTGTGTGTTTAGCAATGTGTGATTGTGTGTATACATTGTCTAAGTGTCTGTACAGTACTCTGTGCATACTGTGAATCTGTGTCTGATCATGCACAAGTCTAATAATTCTGTCCACTCTTTCTCTAAGTCACAACTGGCTCTCTTAAATGTGGCACACATTTTTTTTCAACCCTTCTCATTTAGGGGTTAACAGATTTACTAATTAGCTACTACTTACAGTACATAATAAATAAATGTTTCTGAATATTTATATTTATTTATGTACCTAACTGTCCCATCTTCATAATTTAGCAGCTCTCCTCTCCCTCTATAAACCCTCCATGCACAGAGACCTGGCTTTTTACTTAGAGGTTTACCTCTCTGTTTAAGTTTGTGGAGGGGGAGGAGGGAGTGAAGTCTGCTGACTGCAGAGCTGTAAACTACTGCTCTGCCTATTAACCACTTCAGTGCTGGGAATGTGGGCAGCTACAGCACATTCAGAGAGCAGAACAGAGCACGCCTCAATGTGCACAGAGTGAGGGTGGAAACAGGAGGAGAAAAACAAATGGTCTGAGAATATTATTATTATTATTATTTATATAGCGCCATCAGATTCCGTAGCGCTGTACAATGGTTATCTCGCAGATCTGCAAGAATGTATCTCTCCTACTCTCAGAGTTCAATCGGACAAAAAATAACAGCCCTGGCATTTGCTAGAATGGCCGCCATGATACTCAGGTCTCTGACTTTTACCAGAGCTCCATTTCATTTTTTCCTGTTATTTCTCTGTGGGTTTTCTTTTTATGATTTGAAAATTAGATCCGGGACATATAGCAGGTAACTGAATAGACGATCACCTGCCCAGACTGCCTGGTATAAAACCCGAGACAGTATGAACTGCCATCTCCTCCGAGACAGTATGAACTGCCGTCCTTTGTATAAAATGCCGGGCTATGAGTCACATTTCTAATTCACGTATATCTGTTAAACTTGCCTGGGGGCTCCCCCAATGTCAAACTAAACTCCAATCACAAACTCTGCAGATTAATATCAATAAAACCTTACTTCATCTCCCCCAATAGTTCTCATTCTCTGAGGTGTTTACACCATATATCAGCCACAAGTGTTGTCACTAAGTACTATATATCTATATATCATTTAGTATGTGTTAATACAACTGCTTAAATCTCAGTCAACTGTTATTATTATTATTACCATTACTATTTACAATGCGCCAACAAATTCTGCAGCGCTGTGCAATGTCCGTGGATCCTTACAGAAAAGACAAGTAAAACAGTACACAAGGGAGTGGTTATCTGTAACCACCAACATTGTAATCCTGAAACCACGCAAGTGTTTCGAAATTAAAGGAACACTATAGTCACCCAGACCGCTTCAGCTCAATTAAGTGGTCTGGGTGCCAGGTCCCCCAGGTTTAAACCCCTTCAGCGCCAAGGGAGGGGGGCCCTGAGGGTGTGGGACTCCTAAGGGTTATATAGTGTCAGGAAAACGAGTATGTTTTCCTGACACTAAAGTGATCCTTTAAAGGACCAAACTTCTGGAATAAAAGGGAATCATGACATGTCACACATGTCATGTGTCCTTAAGGGGTTAACAAACAACACAAAAAAGGCCCATAACCTAGCATCACATTCTGCAGTACCGCCCCCTGCCCATCTACAATACTTCCCACAATGCCTAAATTCTCCACATAACTCTTCAATGTCTAATCTCAGGACTTTCCTCTGCTCCCTGGTGTCAACTCGAATTTGAGCTGCCACAAAACTGCCACCGCAATTTAACTACAAAAAGTTTTGAGCCACTAAAAATAGCTTCAGCAGTCAGAGTGAGGGAGCATGGATTTAAAGGGATTGTTTTCCTGGCACTGGAGTGTCCCTTTAACTGTGCTCACACCAAATCTGCAGGACGTGTCATTACACCCTAAGCCAATTAAAGCCAATTACAGTTAAGATGTAATGACACATTCTAATGGCTGTTTTGAGATGCTACGTGTTTGTGACCAAGGTCTTTTTGGCACTTTTGCAATGTGTTCATTTTACCATTATTTCCCGCTGTTTAAGTGCGCCCATACATATTATACATAGGTGTACTCCGCGCATTTCATTAGGGAGCGCACGCAGGAATTATTCCGCTATTTCTAATGTTATATAAGTTTTATATATTTTTAATTACTTGAAACACTCCCAACCCAAGGACAACTTGTGTCATTAAGTATATTAAAGTTGTGATGGTAACAGCAGAGTCAGCACACAGTCTTACATTCAGGGGTTAATCTGTTTGCAGCTTGAAGCTGGGGCTCTGGCTACCCTTGTATTTCTCTCCACACCCCCTTCCCCCAGTGATAGGCCTCTTTCCATACACTTTTTTGCCATTCTATCTATAGCCCCCCCCTCCTCCTCCTAATCCACATCTTCCCTCCCTCTGTAATCCCCACCCACTTGATTTGTG